TTCTTTAATCATGTACTGCCTCCACTCACTTCCCGTCCCAGGACAACAAACATCAACTGAATTAAGTTAAAGGAGACTCACTGTTTGGGCCTACCTACAGTGAATTTATTGTCACTTGCTGACAGGATATGTATGGGAAATCATGAGTCTGCTCAACATGGACAACCATAGCACAAGCTTTCCTTTCATTCTCTGTCAGTGGGCAAGGTAGGTTCTATAGTCAGTATATCTAAACCCAAAAATAAAAATATAATATATTGCAGCTTACCAGTCCTTAAATGTAGGAGCTGCATTATTTATTTATTTCTATTATTTATTTAAGTTTTTTTTTACCTGGTGATGCTGCCAGTAACCCTCAGTTCACATCTGTGCGGGCGGGTGGTGCCACTGCAGGACCCGCACAAATGCTTGCAGCCACATCGCCCACACAGAGGAATGCGGGACCTGCGGGCAAGTGCCATTAATTCTAATTGCATGCCACCCGCACTGGAAACCGCAACTGTACTAGGGACCTTCGTTTCCGTGCAGGCTGCGATATCTGAAGTAGTGCAGGGACTTCTTCCCTGCGTGTCCCAGGGCACGGGAGTCCATTAAAATGAATGGGCTCTTATGCACATCGCAGCCTATACGACTGCACAGATGTGAACCAGAGCTAACAGAACATTGTCCTTCCATATCATGGAAAGGCACGGTTCTATAGTTCTCAGAGATAGCTGGGAATAACTTAGCTGAAGAGTCTGCACAGAGAGAGTACAGGAAGTTGTTGCTGGATATTTTCGCATTTATCAAACTAATTATAACAAAATGCTTTCTGTAGAGTATTTAAAGTGGACCTTCAGTTAAAGCTACAAAAAAATAAGTCCGCAACTACAAAAACTGTAGCTGCTGAATTTTTAAAAAACGGACATTCATCTGTACCACGATCCAGCGGTGTCTTCACTGCATCTGGTTTCACCGGCCATCCTTGCTCTCTGGCATCTTAAGTGTGGGCACCCAGCTGTGACAGCTTGCGAGTAGCGCTGCGCCTTGTGGATGGTCCCGTAGTCTTCTGGGACCTGTCGCATGTCCCAGAAGACTACGGGGAGGAGGACAACTTCTGCTTCCGATCACCTAGGCGATTGCAGCGGAAGTGGGACCGGGTACCTGTCAGTATCGGGAACCCGCTCCCCAAAGGTGCCAATTCCTCACGGGGAGCAGGGGACCGGTACTTTAAAGCGAAATGTCATCTTTTGGGTGAAGCTCTGTTTTAATAGACCAAAAGGAAGCAAACAAGAAACGTTCATTAGGGTTTACATCCACTTTAGGGCCCATTTTCTGTCCGTAGTGCGTTAACGTGTTATGTTGCACGTTACCATGCATTGCCTTAATTTACAATGAATGGGCTGCCAATGTTCTATTACATGCCAAGGAATTGTACTTGACCCTTCTTTTGTAAGGCAGTGCACTACTGTGTGTTGCAGGGGTCTCCAAATTTTGAAAACAAAGGGCCAGTTTTCTGCTCTTCCAACTTCATGGGGGCCAGACTGTGGCCAGTGGGAGTATAGAATGCCCCGGCATCAGTGGTAGTAAACCATTTCATCAGTGGAAGTAAATAAATTACATCATTGGTGTCAGGAGGAGGAATGGTGGCCCCCCATCATTGGTGTCAGTGTGAGATTTTGTTCCCCATCTCTGGTGTCAGTGGGAGGAATAAGTATCCCATTATTGCTGTCAGTGGGGGTAGTAGTACCCCAAGGGCCAGATAAAGACAAGCAAAGGGCCACACCTGGTCCACGTGCTGAAATTTGGAGACTTCTGCTATAGAGCATTGTGTTTCAGGTAATGCATGTTGTTTTTTGATACTGCTTGCATTACTACAACATGTTAATGCCGCCACTCTCAACTAGGGTTCCACCTGAAGTTGCCAGGGGTTGCTTGAGCCTTTGCTGATTAATTGACTTCCCATCTGATGATGCCTGAATAGTTCCAGGGCCAACTCTACTTGACAAAACCACAACAAGACACATTTATCTTTTAACTTCCTGTAATGGTGGCATTCATCCTACTGACCACCAATTTAAGGGGAATTTTCCCCACTGACCCCAGATGAATTGGTTTCATTAAGGGTTTCCCTAGACGTAAAAAAAATATTTTAGGGGTATTATGTTTTTTTTTTCCCATAAGTTACAGTTTTCACCTTGAACTTGTGCAGGAGCACAATTAGGAGACGGTTGTCACCCTGTAGCAGGAAGTTTCTGGACAAAGACCTTCATTGTAGGGTCATCAATTTTTTATTTGAATGAAACTTGCAAATTTTAAAGAATAGAAAGGAACTTTTGAAATCACAAAAACATTTTTAAAGTTTGCCTAAAGGCAAAACTTTAGTTTTTGATAGTCAGGGATTAAAACCCCTGTCAGGTTTTATTGCTGTTTGGTTCCCCATTAGGGAGTACTTTCACCCTATTCGTCCAGTATACCATTATCATTCAAAGTAAAAGAAAATCCCAAATTTTGTGTTTTCCCCAGAAAAGTATTAAAGGGGAAATATTCCATTTAGGGCACTAGATTTTGTGACCTGGGGGGTCCCTATAGAAATTCCTTTAATTGTAAGGGATTTCCTCCCTCACTTTCTGTTTGTCTATGGGACACAAAGTGAACGGAAATATTCACAATGGGACACAGATGGAAAAAAAAAAAATCTGACGTGTTATACTCTATCCAAACTGAAAAAAAATGTTTTGCCTACAGTTTTATTTTTATAGTTGATAGAAGAATTAGGGTTTAGATCTGCTTTAACAGTGGTCTCCAAACTGAGGTCCTAGGGCCAGATGTGACCCTTTTCTTGCCTTTATTATTATTATTATACAGTATTTATAAAGCGCCAATAGTTCGCTCAGCGCTGTACATTACAGAGGGGGACAGAACATGTGACAGAACAAAAACAATACAATGCAAAACATGAGGGGATTGAGGGCCCTGCTCTTTCGAGTTTACAATCTAGCACAATCTGACCCTATTCCTGTCACTGACACCAGCAATGGGGCATAATTCCTGCCACGGACACCAATAGTGGGGTATAATTCCCTACACTGAATGAGAGCACTATTGTACTAACATCAACTATTTCTTCCTCTAATACCAAAGATCGGGCATTGTTTACTCCCATAGGGCACAGTCTGCCCCCCCTAGTCTGAAGGACAGTTAAGTGGCCCCTTCTTTAGAAAGTTTAAAGACCCCCTGTGCTTTAACTTAGGCAGTTTTTTAGTAACTTGCAGTCTGTAGAATGGCTGAAGTGGTAAAAGCAGGTTGGGCAGCATATTTCTGAGAATGATTCAGTAACACTAAAATGGAGTGGAGCTGATTGAGGAAAGACACTTGCTTATAGTAACCCGTCATTTAGCACTGTCCACGGTTTACTAATTGGCTTCCCCCCTAAAATCAGTGTGATAGTTTGTGGGAACTGCATCCACATACAAGTACCAGACCCTTATCACTGCTGCTGCTTGCGGGAGGCAGTATAAAAAGCACACATGGGTAGTCACACACCTTCTCCAGGTAGCTCAGAGCATACAGATGTATATAGCAAGGAGCCTTTAATGTCTGAGACACAAATGCATCCTGTTGACACCTCTGTTTCCTCTCCTGGCCTTTGATATGCATGGTGTATCACCTTGCTGTGACTGGCCCACTTGTCACCCAGTTCTGGCACACTCCTAGGTGTGCAGATGGCAGGCGCTCCTTTGTCTTTGATGTTTATTGTGTGTTTAGCAGCACACTTATCAGATGTCCTTCCTTTTCACGCATTGTGTATAAAGGCTTTTGTCCTGGAGCTGGTGTAAAGCCACTTCTGTCCATCTGACTGAACATGATATGATCCTATAGATGTGAAATCTGCTGCTTTCGGGCAGTTGTGATGTATAGCTGTAAAACTGCATGCATAATTCAGCTCCTTACCAGAGATGGAAATCCTTACTGAATGACATTTACTGAATGACAGTTTGTAAAGCACCGTATATAATAAACAACTGTACATTTTTAAATGTTACTTCTTTTTAAATTCATTTTTTATATATTTCTCCATGCTGCCAATCGCCTTCAGCCATTTCCTGTCTACATGCACACACTCCAGCGATGGACTGGTTTCCTGATCATGGCAACAGTGGACCGTGCCTGAGCAATGAGCGTTAACACCCCAGTCACACTGGGTGAGACTTGGCATGTGATTTGCATGCCATGCAACTTGCAAGTCATATGCCCAGTTGTACCCTATTGTCTGCAATTACAGCTTTCAAATCGGTGCGGTCCAACTTGGTCGGAGCCGCACCGATTTCTAAAGTAGTACATGCACTACTTTTTGTGCAATTTGCATAGACATCTGTGTCAGATGTCTTGCAAATCGCACCTGAAATCTGCATGTCCCCCGACTTTGAAATCGTGTGACTTCACTGTAAGTCACACGATTTCATAGTCTGCTTGATGTAACCGGGGGGTGTTAAACAACTAAACCACTTGTATATATTTGAAGCCCATATAACAGAATGACTGTGCAGAAGACTGGGGCAAAAATGCTCTCCCCCAGTCCTAACAAGGACCTCCTTTGCAGGATCACCAGGTATTATTGAGTGAAAGTGACATTTGGAATTACATTACAGTGTGAATATTTGTGTGATTGGGTTTACATACAGGGAATCCAAAGTCCACAGAGCATGCTCCAAAGTTGTGATTTGTAAGTAAGGGTTCTGGGTTTAGAGGCCCCTGTGGTGCTCCGTACGCTTTATAAAGATATGTCCAGGCATCTATAGGTGTCTTATTTCAGTTCCTTTTCAGGTTTACAAAAAAGGTTTATGGAATACCATTTGTTCTGGCATACAATACATCCGGTAAAAAGGAGCAGCCAGCCATTTTTATCTACAGTAGATGCATTTAGATGTATGTGTTTGATAAAATTACCCAAAACCTTCAAGTTACCACTGCTGAGTTCTATAATATATATTTTTTTTTCTTTTCTTTTTGTTTTACAGATACCTGATGAGTTTGACAATGGTGAGTTGAAAACATCCGTGGTCTGTCTGCTTCAGTATAATATGTCCCTGTTCCTGCTTTCATCTTGTGGTGTATGTCACATCCTACATACCTCTGTATTTGTATAGAGAGAAGTTGGTGAGCACAGTGATAAGGATTTGAAAGTGGAATTTCACTCTCTCAATCAACATTGACTATTATGACTGCTAGCATTACTAAATAGATAAGAAAGTATATCATATTTACTTGTTTTAAACAGTTTTTTTTTTTAGATTTCTTTAGTTAGGTCCTGGTTTCTTGCTCAGGCAAATGATGTCATACATCCGAGTAGGGGAGGAGGGGTTTTCTCAGCTAAACACACCCTCCTGCCTGCATGCCTGGGCTAAGGGCAAATGGATTCCAGGAAGTAATTGATACATGAATCAACTGCCCTTACTCAAGATGGCCACAGCCAGAAATTCTACGGGAGTGTTTTATCAAAGTGATTTCTCCACAAAATAAAGTATGGAGACATGGATGGATGTGGAAGTTTGCTTTGAATATTAAACATGAATTAAACAGGGCTTTTGGTTCGTGGTGCTGTAGCTCCATTTTAAGGATTTAGGCCGGCCAATATAGATCACTCCTCCCCCTTCTTTTTTTTTTTTTTTTTTTCTTTTTTCTATCAGCCAGCGTGCTAATTGGGGAAGAAAAAAAAAAATAATCAGATTCTTCCATCCACACAAGCAAATTAGATAGAGGACTTCTCCCTGCTGAGACATTGTATTCTTACAGTGGGTCAACTCCACTATCAGAACACACTGATCAGCAGCTGCAGCTATTGATCAAAAAGAATTTTCTAACATGTCCATTTGACAGAAGTCAATCATTAGATCAACTACTGTTAAGCAGGAGTGCCATACATGTATTGAAATTTGTCTGATCCCTGCACAATCATCCAGATTTTATTCCATCTATGGCCAGCTTTAGCCTTCAGTACCAAGTGAATGCACAGGGCAACATCCTCTGCAGTAATGTGGGTTGATGTGCAGTTTAACATGAATTACACTGATTTTTGGAAGGGTCCCTTTCAATAGACTTTAATGGAATCTTCAGCATAGAGGACATTTTCCCAGTATAATGCAATGCTGCATGATAGTTGAACAAGACCTAAAAGCAGTGAAATTTGCATACATTCTTGTCAAAATGTCAGCTGTGAATGTCAGAACATTAGTTTATTATAGAGTAAAATAATAGAACTGAAGTAACAAACATTAACTTGACTGTCTTTTATGTGATAAAAATATCTTGATAGTTCATAGCTCAGGACTATCCAAATTTTGTTTGATAAGAAAATAATTGTGCAAAGCAGTAATCCATGCTTACAATTCAATTTCTACCTAATGATGGCTCTATTTTTGTCTGATTCTTGAAATTTGAGCTGTGGGTGGCCCTGCAAGCATCATTATTTCAAAATCCTCTGAGCCAGGTGATCCATTATCAGCCAAAAAGTGACTGCATCCAATGAGATGCAGTCACTTTTTGGCAGTGCCATTGTATTCAGGTAGGCATGGGTGCAGTATCTGACAGTGAAGATTCCTTTATCCAGGCTGTTTAGTGTAGATGGAGGACTTGACTTATTTTTAATATAACTGAGTAGTGTATGGCTAGCATAAATCTATCTTTATATTCTGTAATTTATTTGTCTCATCGCTATCTTGTTTTTCATATATTTGTGCAGATGTGTTTTGAGATTTTTAGACTGCGAGAGTGATATTTCACATGTAGGCATGAAATGTAGATTCACGCACCATGCTCTTCATTGGTTACACCATATGAAAGCAGAAGGCTAGTCCTGTGCAGATGGGGCTTTAGGCCACATACACATCTGTCTTTTGGCCCAACAATGTGTACCTGAAAGAATCCCAGCAGGGGTCCTTGAAGGGAGGGGGGGGGGGGAGGGGGGCAGCTCCATTGAAAGCAATGGCAGGTACATGTTGGTGTGAGTGTAGCCTTCCACTAAACAAAACTGTTGGTTGCCCATACTGAAGAGTAAAATGAATTTTTATAACCTACAACTGCAGCAATAACTACAGTATAATATCCAGCTTTCCCCTTTGTCTGGGGTCTTGTTCACATGGGCAGATTTAAGCATACACCCAGGTGAGGGCCATGGTTTTCCTGCACAGGATATTTGGGTGTGGGTGGGTGGGTAGGTGTGGTTTTCCTTGAACACACGACAGGGTGAGTTCAGTGATATGCACCCATATGGTCTGTGTTTGTGAAGCCACTGCATCCCGATTGGCATGAATGAGATAAAACCACAGCCCTCACATGGATGTACGCTTAATGTGATTCTACAGGCTTATTTAAAAAAAATTGTCTAGCCTTAGCTGATGTGTGCAGTGGTTTTGCACAGAGAAGCCTGGATCCTCCTCTTCTTGGGTCCCCCATCAGTACTCCTGGCCCCTCCCTTCTATTGGGTGCTCCCACAGCAAACATCTTGCTATAAGAGCACCCCGCTGCTCCATGTATCCATTCACTCACGGAGCTGCGGCTCGGCCCTGCCCTCTCTCTGTTCTCATTGGCTCACTGGCTGTGACAGACAGCAGTGGGAGCCAATGGCTCCTGCTTCTGTCTCAGCCAATGAGGAGAGAGAGTCTCAGGATAGCCGAGACTCCAATGCACATCGCTGGATCAGGATGGGGACTTAGGTGAGTATTTGGGGGGGGCTGCACAGAGAAGGTTATTTACCTTCATGCAGAGAATGCATGAAGGTAAAAAAACCTTGAGCCTTTAGAACCATTTTTAAGTACACCCATATGAACGTGGCCTTATGATTGCTGCCTTTCTTCCTCTCCCTCTGTCTCTCCCTTTTTTAATGCAATATTCAGATTTTTTTTATTTTGGTTTTATACTTCTGATTCCAGACCCCCCAGTCGTACAGCATTTTAGAAGAGCATATAAATATTTTAAGGATTATCGGCAGGTAAGTTTTGCCTGTTTGACCTTGTTGACCTTTGTGTCTGTGTTGCAAGTTTTTGGGGTATAGCCTTTATAATTGTGTAGTACATAATGACTCCCAGTATACCGTGTCACAAACGTTTCTGTTGCCAGTCAATATGTTGTATTTGGTGTGCGTATGGTAAACCTTAGAAGGGTTAGGTATACAGTTGTATACAGTTGTAGTATTCTGCACTGAGAATTTCTGGCCTCTCCTTTTGAAAACACTAGTTTCCTGGAGTGTATACTGGCAGGTGCTAAGAACATCAGCGTGTGCATGTTAGGTTAGTGCCAGGGTTCATTTTTGTAATGTTGGAGCATTGTCCACCTATGGAAAGAGGATGGAAAACTTTGACCAAGAATTCCTCCATATATAGTAAGGCATTGGCATCATGGTGAGAGTTGGTGAACTGTGAAGTAAAACAAGAAGAAGCGCACCAACCTTGCGCATTACCTCAGTAACCAAAATTTATTTAGTAAAAGAATGGTACTCACAAACAGCGAATAAAACAGGCATGTAAGTCCTCCCAGGGACTTCAAAGGCAAGAGGCCAGCGCGAATCCCATCATGGGGGTTGCCACTCAGTACAGCTGATGCATTTCGAAGGTCATGCCTTCTTCCTCAGAGCTCTGAGGCCTCTTGCCTTTGAAGTCCCTGGGAGGACTTACATGCCTGTTTTTATTCGCTGTTTGTGAGTACCATTCTTTTACTAAATAAATTTTGGTTACTGAGGTAATGCGCAAGGTTGGTGCGCTTCTTCTTGTTTTACTTCACAGTTCTGTTCGGGCTTCCCCAGCCTTGGTTTGGAGCTGCACGACCTTGTATGCCCTGGTGGTTGCTTTGTTGGGATTTGATCTACTCACCACCGGCCTGGGTCCCGGAGCGCAGGAGAAATTGCATTTAGTCCATCGAGAGTTGGTGAACACCTGTCTTTCAATGCTGGGGTTGTAGGTTCAATTCCCATCGGGGAGTCTGTGTACATGGAGATTGTGTGTTCTCCCTGTGTTAGTTTTCTCCAGTTCTCTTGGTTTCCCCTTCAGAATTTCTGCTAAGTTTTATATGTTAAAAAGGTCAAAAATATTCCACATAGGGGTGATTGTTCAATAAATATAGAATAAAGCAGCTACTAGACAATTTGTGATGCTGATTGAAAACCTGGAAAATATTTAATAAGGAGGTTAAAGGAATAAAAAAATTGTTATAGATAAAATTCAAGACGGTAAAGGAGAAACTGGTGTACGCCACTACTGATACCGCTAGCAGGTTCCATATTTACTATAGTAAGTTGTATGATATGAGCCTCAGAAACCAAAAAGAATTGGAGGATGAAAAAAAGAGAAATAGAATTATCTAAAGGAGGTGGAGTTGCCAAAAATAGCAGATCAAACATTAGAGGCTTTAGAGAGAGCCATTTCCTCAGAGGAAGTTATTTTTGGCCCTGAAGAATACAGGCACAGGAAAAAGTCCTGGCTCAGACACACGATAGGCTATTTTAAAAAATGTAGGGATCTTTTGGTCCCGAAAATGTGTGGCTATATGAATGCAATAGAAGACCGGTTAGAAATGAGGGAAGAGTCATTGCAAGCATACAGTTGTGTTCAAAATAATAGCAGTGTGTTGAAAAAAGTGAATAAAGCAGAAAATCCTTCTAATAGCTTTTATTTCCATACACACAAATGCATTGGGAACACTACACATTCTATTCCAAATCAAAACATGAAGAAAAATTTATCAAATTTGTGTCATTCCTCTAAAAAAAATTGAAGAAAAGTGAATATTAGACTGTTCAAAAAAAATAGCAGTGTTTGTATTCTTCTTTACAAACTCAAACATTCACTATGTAAACTGAAAAATGTTTGAAGGTTTTGCTTTCCTTTGAATCACTTAATGAATATTTAGTTGTATAAGCACTGTTTCTGAGAACTGCTGTACATCTGTGTTGCATGGAGTCAACCAACTCTGGCACCTGTGAACAGGTTTTCCAGCCCAGGATGATTGGACTACATTCCACAGTTCTTCTCTATTTCTTGGTTTTGCCTCAGAAACTGCATTTTGATGTCACCCCACAAGTTTTCTATTGGATTAAGATCCGGGGATTGGGCTGGCCACTCCATAACGTCAATCTTGTTGGTCTGGAACCAAGATGTTGCACGTTTACTGGTGTGTTTGGGGTCGTTGTCTTGTTGGAACACCCATTTCAAGGGCATTTCCTCTTCAGCATAAGGCAGCATGACGTCTTCAAGTATTCTGATGTATTCAAACTGATCCATGATCCCTGGTATGCGATAAATAGGCCCAACACCGTAGTATGAGAAACATCCCCATATCATGATGCTTGCCCAACCATGCTTCACTGTCTTCAGTGTACTGTGGCTTGAATTCAGTGTTTGGGGGTCGTCTGACAAACTGTCTCCGGCCACTAGACCCAAAAAGAACAATCTTACTTTCATCAGTCCACAAAATGTTGCGCCATTTCTCTTTAGGCCAGTCAATGTGCTCTTTGGCAAATTGTAACCTCTTCAGCACATGTCTTTTTTTCAACAGTGGGACTTTGCGGGGGCTTCTTGCAGATAGCTTGGCTTCACATAGGCGTCTTCTAATTGTAACAGTACTCACAGGGAACTTTAGACCTTCTTTGATCTTCCTGGAGCTGATTGTTGGCTGAGTCCTTGCCATTTTGGCTATTCTATCCATTCGAATGGTAGTTTTTCGCTTTCTTCCATGTCTTTCAGGTTTTGGTTGCCATTTTAAAGTATTTGCGATCATTTTAGCTGAGCAGCCTATCATTTTCTGCACTTCTTCATATGTTTTCCCCTCTCCAATCAACTTTTTAATCAAGGTACGCTGTTCTTCTGAACAAGGTCTGGAATGACCCATTTTCCTCAGAATTTCAGAGAGAAATGCACTGTAACCAGCATGTACAACATTTGCTGCCTTCCTTCCTTAAATAAGGGAAATCATTGCCACCTGTTTTTAAAAGAATGAATGACCTCACTAATAGAACTCTACACTGCTATTATTTTGAACATGCCCCTTTCAATTAGTGATTCAATTACACAGAATCAGCAGCATGCATGTCGAGACTGTTGGGTCTGTTGGATTTCTATTACTCTACTACACCTGCTAGTAAATTATTTGCCATGTAGAAATATCATTTCTACCAAAAACAGTGATTGATCAGGTTAGTGATGTCTGACTGCTATTATTTTGAACACTACTGTATAATGGTCATACTTAAAGAAGGGAAGGATAGCTCCTAGTGTGCTAGTTACAGGCCCATATCCCTGTTAAATATCGATACAAACATTTATGCTAAGGTGTTGGCCACTAGATTGAAGCTGTTGATGCTAGAGTGGATACACCTTGACCAGGTAGGTTTCATCCCCGGAAGAGAAGGAAGGGATAATGGCTTGAGATCATTGTTCCTATTACGAAAAGTAAAGAGAGAATCAGCCGACATTATTCTTGTCGATTAATGCCGAAAAAGCTTTTGACAGCGTCTACTGGGGATTTATGTTCGATATGTTAGAGGTCTTAGGAATAGGGCCCAAAATGTTGAAGTGGATAAAAGGGACTTTATAACGGCCCGTCAGCGTCGGTTAAGGTAAATGGATCCCTTTCCCAATTCTTCAAATTGTACAACGGAACTAGGCAATGTCCACTATCTCCATTGTTGTTTGTTCTGTTTCTGGAACCCATGCTGGCAAGGGTACGATAGTGCGTAGATATAGCTGGAATAAAGATAGGGGAAGTGGAGCATAAGGTGGCTTCATACACAGACAATATGTTATTTTATATTGCAAATTCCAGAATAACGCATACTGTAAAAGCAACCAAAGAGTTTTTTAAGGGAAAGAAGTGGAATGTTATGCAATGGCCAAGTCAATCACCTGACCTGAATCCGATTGAGCATGCATTTCACTTGCTGAAGACAAAACTGAAGAGAAAACGACCCAAGAACAAGCAGAAACTGAAGACAGTTGCAGTAGAGGCCTGGCAGAGCATCTCCAGGGATGAAACCCAGCGTCTGGTGATGTCTATGCGTTCCAGACTTCAGGCTGTAATTGACTGCAAAGGATTTACAACCAAGTATTAAAAAGTGAACGTTTGATTTATGATTATTATTCTGTCCCATTACTTTTGGTCCCTTAACAAGTGGGAGGCACATATGCAAACTGTTGTAATACCTACACCGTTCACCTGATTTGGATGTAAATACCCTCAAATTAAAGCTGACCGTCTGCAGTTAAAGCACATCTTGTTCATTTCATTTCAAATCCATTGTGGTGATGTATAGAGCCAAAAATATTTGAATTGTGTCGATGTCCCAATATTTATGGACCTGACTGTATGTTACACCAAGTGTGGCACATAAGCAGCAAGGGGATATTTCACCTTTATGTTGAGAGGATGTGGGGAAAAAGGGAACAATGTCACATATATGGTGGGATTGGCCGAAAATGCAGGTCTATTGGAAGGAAATAATCCACTATGTCCAGGAATTGTGTGGGATTACCTTACAGAAAGACCAGTGGACGTGTTTATTTTATACCTTTTGAGCCTTCAGTGAAACCGTACCAAAACAGGATATTATATCATTTACGGCTAAGGGCCTGATCCCCAAGTTTTGGCGGGCCCAGAGCCACCAAGAATAAATGAATGGATAAACAGAGTTGAAAATATTTATAGGTTGGAGGAGTTATCATATGGAGGAGAATAAAATGGAAACATTTAGGAAAACGTTGAGTGGTTGGTCAGATTTTAAAACTGCTAAAAGATACCTGGACATGATCTGGAGTTCAGAGGGGTAGCCTAGAAAGATTTTGACGGAGAATCGGACAGGGAGAGTGGGTGAGAAGGGGAAAGGTCACAGATTTATACGGATAAGTGTAATTAGGAATTGAAAGTAGGCAATAGGTGTGTGGACAGGGGTAATTGGATGGGGGAGGGGGTGAGATGGGTGGGTGTTGGGAAAGGAGCTTTAAAATGGAATTATGTATTTATAAAATGTGCTTGTATTAGGTTGTTTTATATTTGTATTGAAAAACTTAAAAAAGATGTAATAAATAAATACAATTCTGACAATCCCCTTCTCCTGCGCTGTAGGTACTGATTACAGCAAGTGAATAAAGCTAGCCATAGAGGGATAGAACTTCAAACAAAAAGTCTTAGGAAAATTCTCAGAACATTCTCCGTACATTCATTTGTTTGAAAGATTTTGTTTGCTTTTAACATTTGATTTTAGAATAAAAGGGTTTTACTGAACAAACGCATACACTGTTACAAATTCATTTGTTCGAGAGACATTTTCCATCCTTCTCCTTCGAATTTTCTCGTCGCTGCTATTGAAAATGAAAATAAATGTCAGTTTGCCCCAACTAATGAACAGAAAAACGAACAAACTTTCTTGCAACCTTTTTTCCCATGAATTTTCATTTGAAATTCTACCCATCTATGGTCAGCTTAACAGACTCACTCAAAAGGGATTTGCATTGAAAGCCCAGCGCCTGGCAAAATAAGATATCTATCCTATTGTGCAGCATCTTGCACTGGGCTGAAACTGAAATGTGACTTTCTCTTTAATAAGTGACAGGATTGATCTGCATTTTTTTTTTCTTTATGGTAGATGATCATTGAACCCACAAGTCCGAAACTTCTTCCAGATCCATTAAAAGAACCATATTACCAGCCTCCCTACACACTAGTGCTCGAGCTGAAGAATGTTCTGCTACACCCAGAGTGGTCGGTGAGTGATCCAAACTATTTATATGTCCATGTTTCAGATGGTGCTTCCAGATACAGGAGGTAGGGACCAGAGCGCTTTCACATGTCCCCTATGAAAGTCATGACGCTTTGGAGGAACAAACAGGAGGAATTTGTGGGAAGAGTTGGGAACTTCTTGCACTCTTTACTGCACAATTATAAAATGTTGCATGATATCTTAAATGTGCCAAGAAGGGTAGCTACACTGCAACAACTCTTGGCAGCAGGGCAAGAATTAGGTGGAGAGGCCAGGTGATGACATAACACTCCCCCACCTCGTCCATTCAGAGAACACTTTGCATTCATTCAAAAAATGTGAAGAAGCCCATAAATCTAATTTTTTTTTTTTTTTTTTTTTTTTTCTGCTTGAATGGGAAAAAAAATTTTCAGATTCCCCATCCACACACTTGATGTTTATTGGGAAATCCATCCTTCCTGCTGCGGTATTGTATTCTGACAATGTGGAGCCTTCCCAACCACCGGAATACAATGATCAGTGTTGTCAACACTGATCGTTTGGGAAATGCCCATACATGGATTGAAATTCGTCCAGTCCATGCTGAAATGGCTGAATTTCGATATATGTATGGCCAACCTAAAACCTTCCCTGAATGGCGACCGTGACGAGCGACCGACCTCCTGTGTTTTTAGCAGAGCAGCCGCTGAGCATGGGATCCTGGAGTAAGTGGAGCCACTGGAATAGCACTGTTTACTTAAGTGATTTCTTTAGGCATTAGCCTGGTAGGGAATATACAGTACGTAGTTACATTGGTCCAAGCTGGACCAATGTAACTATGTAAAAATATACCTACCATGCCTGGAATTCATCATCAATATTTCTAGGGCAAAAACACTGCTAAATGTCATCGCAGATTAGCAACACAAATACGAGATAAAGGGTAAAGTAGAGCAGTGCAGGGAAACTGATACGTTCTATAATTCTTAAGATGTGTTTGGGGTTCTCTGCAGGAAATTTGCAGGTTTATAAAGACCTGAAATCTCATATGTCTTTATTTTGATTTCTTTAACATTACGAATGTTCCATCCGCTGTCTTCCTGTAGTAATGCTGCTTTCTGCTTTCAGTTAGAAACCGGATGGAGGTTTAAGAAGAGGGCCGGTATTGACAACTTGCTCCAGCAACTTGCCCCTCTTTATGAGATTGTTATATTTACCGCTGAAACAGGCATGGTAAGTGTAAGCTGTGTCTAATCCCAACACACCTAAACAAATAACAGAAGGATCCAACGGGTACCTTGGCAAATCATTATTTTTGTGGGTGCCCTGCCCAAAGCTGCCCATACACTGTCAGGTTTATTTTCAGCAGGCTGAACTAATTTTTCTCCAAAGCTGTTTTTTTTTTTGCTTTTTTTTGTTTTTTTTGTTTTCCAGGCAAAATTTAAATTACAAATAGTGTGGAATATGGTATTTCACTATGATAAATCATGTATGACCTGGTATTCAAACCCTATAAAATGAAGATCTCAATGAAAGATTGCTGAGACTTTATGAAAAACGTTTTTTTTTTCTTATGGCTCCAAAATTTTTGGAAATTTTACATATCTAGTCTGAACAAAAAAAAAAGAAAAATCTTAGATTCCTCTGATCATGCTTTATAGCTTGGATGGAGACTGCGGCTGTCCCTGTTGTATTCAGATGGCCTCCACAGGTGACTGTCAGAATACCCAAGTGGTGTCTGTAGATATAGCCACTGCTTAGCTGAAATTTTCCATCTGGCTCCTTCACGTTTTCATTCGAAGGATGTTGGGCAGGAGGGAGCCAACAGGGCCACCCACATAGCAAATTCTGGTCCATACATCAGGAACTGGACAAATTTGTCATAGTGTATGATCAGCTTTAGATTCTACATGGAGATTTCCCTAAGGGCTCTTTTACACCCTCAGCATTTTTGCTAAATTGCTAATAAGGTAGGACGGGTTGCTTTTTATCGCAGCACATTGCAAGGTTCTGTAGTGTGTCTGAAGGAAGTCAAAATTATGAAAATTGTGGGAGAGGGAGAAACATACTACAAGGTGTGATAAAATGCATTTTAATGCTCAGTTCACACTATTGTGTCTCGGGAACACCTTCATTCCTGCAATTAGAGAGAAATGCACTGCTATTTTAGCAGACGTGTAGAGTGATGTGAATGGAACCTAAAATTACATTCTCTATCCTTTGAATTATGCACCTTAATGCGTCCACTATGATGTAAAAGTCAGGATGCCCCTAAACGATATTTTGCAACACGTATTTCTTCATTAATCCTGTTTTGCTTTGATTCCTCTTGTGATTAAAATCTTTGGTGCTTCTTCTGCAGACTGCATTCCCTCTCATTGACAGTATGGACCCTCATGGTTTTATATCATACCGACTATTCCGAGATGCAACACGTTACGCAGAAGGCCATCATGTTAAAGTAAGAAATTGTCTTTGCTGATATTTAATAAAGGTGCCTATACGAAGGATGAATACTGGAGAGTCCTTTACTAACTGCCAGTTACTGGCCAGTAGAACAGATGAAATGGACGTCCCACAGTGTAGAAAATTTTTTTTTTTTTTTTTGTGAATGGTTAGGGAGTTTGGCTCAGGTGATGAACATTTACACTCCATAAGAAAATCAGGTGAATGATCATCTGGTTTTCCTTGCTGTTTCACAGCAAGCCGAACCCACAGATGGTACCAATTGTACGAAAATTCTCAAACAACAAAGGATTTTTTTTTTGTTTGATGAAGAAACGCTGTAGCGTAGATTGTTGGTTGTTGTTTCCTGATCATGCGCAGTCTTTTGTATCCTATTTTTCTTGTACGTAAACCGCACACATTAAATGAAAATTGTTCTGTTTACATACGAGAAGAATTTTGGAGTTTGTCCTTTTGGAAACGTTTGTATGGAAAGTCTGAACTGGATGTTGAAAGTTGAGTACACACTATGAAAATTGAACGATTGTTTCTTGCACAGAATTGTTTTTCCAATTCTCTCATAGTGTGTACCCAACTTTAGATTTGTTAAAGAGGAGCCCATCTAACTACAAGATATGTGGCACCAGTAATCCATTTCTCAAAACCAGAGTTGTCCAATCAATGGTCCTAAATTGTTAGCCATGACCATATTTTGTTTTAGCGGTCAAAGCTGGAAAACAATCATATTTTTTTTGTTTTTCTTGTTTTCTACAGGTACTAATGAGGCCAAAGGCCATTTTAAGTATAACTAAAAGGCAAAACAGTTTTTTGTTTTTTTCTTTCATTTTTGATAGTGTAAAGATGAGTTGGTGATAAGTGTTTTTTTTTTTTAAGAAAATGTAGAGACTTCCCTTCATTTTATGTCCTTTTTAAAACTCAATGGGAACTGAAAAAATATCTTTCCAATGTGAAAGGTGTTGATCACTTTCATTCTCAGTGACACTGGTGATCATGGCAATTAGAGAGTGGAAGGCTAAGATCTCCTTTAAGGAAATAATTATAAATGCACGTATTTTTGCAGAAAAAAATGTGTGCATTATTATTTCCCACAGGAGCCAGAAAGCATTGCACCTGTTGTTAGTGGATGGTAGGTGAAATGTCAGGCTCCTGCACACTCTTCCTCCAGTTTTCTGCCTATGCCTCTGTATGGGCTTTCAGTTAAAAAGCTGGAAGTGTCAGTGGTCTGTGAGTGCACTGATTAGCCCATTGAGAACTAAGAGGAACCTGCCACAATGGCAGACAGGACTTGTAGTTTACTTATTCCCAGATCTCTGTAAATTAATGATGCAGCTGTGTGGACAGAACGCCACATAGTCATGATGATTTTAAATGCAACAGCGGCTGCATATGAGAGGAAGCCCCACATGCTGTCACAGAGCGGTGGCTCTGGGGTGAGCAGTGGGTGCTTGGGAACATGTTACATGGTGCATCCTAAATATGGGTGTAACATGTTTCTAAAGGTGAACTTGACCTTGAATCTTCCTAATAGGGATACAGATTGCAATAAATACATGACAGTGGCTCTAACCCCTCACCACTCATCCAAATCTTAACTTTTCATTTAGTTATATATTTTACACCACAATTTACATATGGGGACAGACACTGACAGCGTAAGAGGTCCTGTGTTCAGTCAGTGCAGCAGTTTGTGGTCATCATCTATAGGACCTGCTGTGTATAGCCATTTAACTGTTATCACCATTCTAAATAATTCAGACTTCTCTGCAGTCTTCCAGGAAAAGGAAAATTCACAGCCAGGAATTCTGTTGGTACTAAATTATACACAACTGGACAGCTGAACAAGCCACTTTAAAGAGCAATGAAAAGTTTTTTTGAGATGATCAGAAAGTCCAGACATGTTTGGTTTACCAGCAGAACATCCCTGAAAGGCAGTTGCAGCCTTGATGACTCTGTAGTAGAATAATGCTGGCCATAGATGGAGCGAAATTTGCCCGGTTTAGCAGAGACTGGATGAATTTCGAGCCATCTACGACCAATCTTGTTCATCAGAAGTTGATCTAATGATTGATTTCTGTCGAACTGAATTGTTGGAAAGTTTGTGTTTGGTCAGTGGCTGCAGCACTGATCAGTGTATTCTGACAGTGGAGATGTCCTCGCTGTCCGAATACAGCAGCATGGGGGGGGGGGGGAGGCACTCTCTCTGGCTTATGGGAAAGGCTCAACCAGTGGAATCTATTACTTCTTCTTTATTGTGGCCCACCATAGGATAAAAAGTGTATTGTATAGCATGAAGCTATAGTAATACTGTTAGTTTACCTGCGATGTATCTGACTAATTCAGTTTCTTGAAATGAGAATGGTATCTAATGACACAGTCTGTGGCATAGATATCTGTAGGGAAATGTGGAGAGCAGTGATGATGATGCAGAAGAAAATTTCCCTTTTCTGTTATCCATGAACGACAAATTCTGATTGGTTAGTGTACTTTGCACTTTGCTGTTTACCTTATTAAATAATTTATTGGTTACAGCTTACTAATTTTGTCTGATCACATTCTGGTGAAGGTATTTTTTCTCATGTCTCTTCACTAAGAATTTCTGTCCCTCTGTGTAATGTTGCATATTTGTATCTAGGACATCTCATGTCTGAACAGAGACCCAGCACGTGTTGTGATCGTGGACTGTAACAGAAATGCTTTTAAACTGCAGCCTTACAATGGCCTGGCTATAAAGAAATGGGATGGCGACTCTGAGGACCGAGCACTCTATGATCTTACTGCTTTCCTGAAGAGTGAGTATATCTCAAGAATAAATCAAGCCATAAAGGTTCTGCATTTTTTTTTCCCTTCCACCATGGGTGAAAGGAAAGAAAATTGCTTGATTCCCTCATCAACACTGACTAAATCCCTCCTGCAGCGTTATTGTGTTTTTTCCCGGCGGGGAGCATTTCCTGTCAGCAGGACACAATGATCACTGCGAGTGACTATAGCCTCCAGCAGTGATCGCATGGAAAAAATCCAACCGGCTGGTTGTACTGAAGTCGATCAATGGATTGACTTCAGTACAAACAGCCTTCCCATAGATGGATTGAATTGCAGCTGGTCCCTGCTGAACCGGCAGAGATTCAATCCATCTATGGCCAGCTTTAGTGGTATAGTCTGTACCAGTAATGATCAATGTACTGTGCCTGATATGAGGCAGTTATAGGGGGACCACAGACAGGCCACTTTCTTGCTGATTACAGTTTTTACAATCTGTGGTGAGACTTCTGCCAGTCATTGGGTTAGTTACCATTAGGTTGGTATACCAAACTTTTTTTTTTTTTTTTTTTTTGGATGTAAAAGTGATAGAACTTTTACTGGTGTGGTGGGTTTTTTTTTTTCTGTCTTTTTTTCTTTGTGACCCCTTTGGAAAGATTTTCTAATCTCTTTAACATGTATAGGTCCAATGCACAGAATTTATATATATTTATTATGGATGGCGTACACTGGATTGCTGCCTTTCTTTAGACTTCATTAACACAAATGCAGGCACACACTAGTTGTGGCAGCTGCACTTTCCACTAGAGAGAGTCAATCACTCTCCTGCATTTCCAAGACCTGAAGAATTCTGTTACCCCTGCATCACATTGGCAGTGGATAATAAAAGATCATCATTTACGCCCAATAACCTAATCGATTTGTATTGGCACTCTTCTTCACCTCCCAATGTTCCTCAGTAGGCAGAAGGAAACTCTGGTTTGGGAGCAGCCTAACTCCAATAAACATACAGTCCTTTGTATTAACTGAACCTAAAAAGTTTCTCAGATCCAGAGTCACCCCTGAATAAACCCTTCTCTAGCTTCAGGCAATGTTTAAAAGAAACTCCGGGGCAAAATTGTTATTTTCTCATGCAATGGAGCTGTGCTTGCACTGCATGGGTTAACTGTTTGTTTTTTGTCCCGAGGATTGCATTTTCTTGTCACTGGTATTGAAAACAAATGTCAATTTGCCCCAACTAATGAACAGAACTAATGAACAGAAAAATGAACAAACTTTCTTAGAACCTTTTTTCTCATGAATTTTCATTTGGAATTCTACCCATCTATGGACATCATGCCCATAGACCAACTCTGAGTGTGAGAATGGCAGGAGTAGTCCACCGCTTGATGTGGGGGAGCACGGTTTTCTGATGGATCGAAGGACCTGGTATAAGTATAGCTTTTCCTTGCTTACCTGGAGAAAATGAGCAATTAACCCATGCACAGTCCTACTGCATGGGAAAATAAAAATTCTTTAAGGAATCTTCCAAGTTTAAAGCAGAAAGCAAAATTTTGTTTCTACAGTCCAACTCCATTGTGGCTGCCTTTCCATCGAATGTCTAATGGAAACACAGTGGAGGTGCACAGGAAAATGGGAAAGCAAAGTGCTGGGACCTGAATTGAACTACATTACGGCTTCTCTCCTGAAGTTTGGGGGTTATTTGCTCTGCAGTGTCTGCAGTTTTTGAGCTCAGTAAGGCCTAATTTACAACTTGCATACTGCTTCCTTCAGTGTAATTACTGATGAGGAGTCATTTGCATGCAGAAGTATGTCTTTACTAGGAATGACTGGTGAAACAAAACGTTTTACAACCTTTCAACCTAATCTCTACCAAGGACAGAAACATGATATGCTCTGAGGATATTTTTCTGTAAGTTATATTTCCAATTCATAGAATCCAAGCTGTAATAAAGTTAATAGCTACTTAAAGTAACATGTGTATTAGATGTTCTGAATTTCAATATCTTTTTACCTTACTTTCCTACAGCCATTGCAATGAGTGGTGTCAGTGATGTCCGTACTGTCCTAGAAAATTACTCTTTAGAGGAAGATCCTTTGGGCGCTTTTAAACGCAGACAGACTCAGTTGGAACAGGTAATTATGGAAGACACTATAGATATATATATTTCCTATTTTACAAATGCAATGCAAAGGACTGCCGTTTTGTATAATAATGTTGGCATAATACAACACCATACCGTATTCACCAGAGGGGGAGCCTATGAGCTCCCCAAATTCCCTGTCACCCAACAGGCAAAAACTACATATAACTAAAATAAACATCCTTGTACTATATTTTAGACAGAACACTTTTTATGGGCTTTTCTTGCAAAAACTGAATCGTGAACAAGGCAACCTAGGCAAGAACCTGGGATGTGGTGAATTCCAGGGGGCATAGCTGAACCCTTCATGCTCTTGCAGTAAACTAGCAGGAAAGAGCAGTTTGTTAAAGCTGTGTACCCACCTGTCACTTAGCAGGAGAGGATGTTGGTGTCTACAGCCAGTTCAGACAGTGCAAATGGGTTGGCTTTTCTGATATTGCAATCCTTACTAATGTCAATCAAAGGGTCAGGGGAGCAAAAAAATTCTACCTTGCCCAGGGCCCTATTCTGCCTTCATCCATCCATGCTTCTACTCCTGCAGGGTAACTGCTGGAGAAAATACTTGACCTGATGTAGAGTGGCTGGATTTGCCTAAAACATTATTCTCTGAGCCCCTTCAGCTGAGATCACAAGATCAAATGCCAACACTTAATCTAGTCCGGGAAATTCAAGGACTGCTAGGTCTCCTTTTAGATGAAATCTTGGACACCCTTTCAAAAGAAAATGATAAATACTTCTCCTTTTAGCAGGCAGTGAGTGTTTAATTTGTTTTCTTCAACAGCTGCTGCTATCCAACACTTCCAGGTGTTACTGTTAATGTCCAGCACTCTGGTTAGGCCCCTTTCACAAGAGCAGACTGATTGGGTCTGCCTGTTTTTCATTTTCCTCTATGGCATGGCGGATGTAAACGGACATGTGTCCTGTTACACCCGCCTGCATCTTATCTGATTAGATCTTCTGAAAACAGACAGTTGGGGATCCGTTCCCCATCTGTCTAGCAGATTGAATGACAGTCGGTTGTAAATAGACAGGCGGTTCCTTTACATCCGACTGCCTGTAGAGCGGACATGGACCTGTCATCCGCCAGCTCAGCGGGGATCAGTGAACTGTTGGCGGGGACCGCCCTTGTGAAAGGGGCCTTACTCCTGCTGGCTGCAATGTCAATACTCTGCTCTGTAGTAGTGTAGCAGCTAACAGGAGGAACCACAGCACTTAGGGACATGCTACATGGCACACCAAGAAGTGTCGGAAAGCAATATCACCGATAAGTGTTTGAGACTGTAGATTTCACTTGCCACTCGCAAGAAAGCCAAAAATTCATCATGTTTTTTTTTTGGGGAAACCCATGATTTATTATTCTGTGATGATAGGGTCACTTTTGGCACCTTGCGGGTTGGCATTCGTTGCTCTACAATGTAAATGACTGCATTAATCTGATGTTTTTTTCTACTCCATCTTCTTCCATTCACAGGAGGAGCAGCAAAGACTTGCAGAGCTGTCACAGCTCAATAAGAGACAGACTCTTTCATTGGGATCAATTACTAGCCGGATTTGGCCTCGCTCCAAACAGGAATGACATCTTCGCCATCCCCAGCATTCCCCTACTTAGCAGCATGAAGACTGACAACTGTGACCAGCCCCACACACCTTGTATATATACATCTATATATAGTGAGAGGGGACAACTTCACGCTGGACATGTGTTTTTGTGTTAATATATTAATAAAACTTTTTTTCTTTTTGTAGACTTTTTTCTGGAATCATTTCTATGGTACATCAGTAATAAGTGTCCTTGAACACATTTGGGCTCTATTTGCATGAGCGTTTAGCCACCCTGCGAATCCCAGCAGCAAGAATATACTGATTTCTGCATCTGGGATTGACAGCTGCATGCACATAACGTGTCTGCTGAGCCCGTACACTGCAATGACAGGCTGTCGGCAGCTGCTGATATTCATGACTGTTCACACAGCCAGCGATTACCTGCGGTGATTACAGCTGGATGCACTTTGTGATGCACTACAGGGTGTCCCTAAGGTCTGGACACAGGAAATATCACTATATGTATGTAATATAGGCTCACCAGACCTTCACCTTCTTGACTTCCTTTTTTGAGGTATGTTAAAGGAGAATGTGTACTCAATGAAAATCACAGATATGAATCGCCTGAAGGAACGCATCATGAATGAATGTGCTCATATTGACGGAAATGTGGAGTTACTGCATCGGGTTCATGTGAATCTTGCAAAGCACTTTAAATTTTGCATCACAAATGGTGGAAATCACATTGAAGATGTTATTGATTAATATTCCAATGAAATAAAATGTTGAAAAATGTATTGAAATTTATTGAAAATATGTATTTTGCCCATGTGTCCAGACTTTAGGGACACCCGGTAGATTCTAGCCGTTGGGTTTTGCAGCATGGCTAAACTCCTTTTGTTGTGTTCCTTAAACGATTCTTGAACTGATAAGACCAGGTCACCTTCATTTATTTAAACACAATTGTGAATATGATATAAATCTCAAAAAACCCAAATCACACTCTAAATTCCAGTTAGAAAAAACTTTCCACCCTTGAAAGCTCAAAATTATATAGGATTATTCTAAAAAGAATCTCCCCTTCTTTAACCACTTCCAGACCGGACACTTTTACCCCCTTCCTGACCAGGGCAATTTTCAGCTTTTAGCTCTATCACACTTTGAATGACAATTGCGCGGTCATGCAACACTGTACCCAAATGAATTTTTTACCATTTTTTTTAGATAGTTAAAGCTTTATTTTGGTGGTATTTATTCACCACTGGGATTTGTATTTTTTTTTGCTATGTAAATGAAATGTCCAAAAAATTTTAAAAAAAGTGTTTTTTTTTTATAAAATTTTGCAAATAAATAATATTTCATCATAAATCTTAGCCAAAATGTATTCCGTTATCTTTTTAGTAAAAAAAAAAAAAAATCCAAATTAGTTTATAAGCAAAAATTATCATTTTTAAACATTTTTTTTACATTTTTATTTTATTTTTATTTTATTTTTTTATATTATTATTTTTTTTTTTTATTTTTTTTACATACTGTTACCCTAGCAGTACAGTGTCACCATGGTGACACTGTACTACTTGTGAGGGGTGATAAAGATTTTTTTTTTTTTTTTCCTTACACTGATTGCTTTTACACCCATATAGGATGTAAAAGCAATCATTACTGCACTCATTGAGAAATACAGAGTGAGCTGTGATTGGTCACAGCTTGTCACATGGTACAAGGCTTTTGTGAGTAGCCTTGTACCATGTGACCTCTGTGATCATTCACAGATTTCACACATAGTAAGCAATGATGTCAGAAGTGACATCTTGCTTACTACTTTGCATGTGATCACTGATTGGCCAATCAGTGATCACATGATCGGGACCTCGTACAGAGGTCCCATCCGACGATCGGTATTTCACTGTGTCCGGAGGACACAGCGGGCACCGGATCGCGGTGCTGCGCGCTTCCAGGGAGCGCGCACAAGCAGGGTGCGGGGAGGCCATTTATAGACGGCCACCCGACCCTGCAGTGCCACCGTCCGGCCGTTTATATACAACGGCCGGTCGGGAAGTGGTTAAACAAATCCCCAACTAAAATATATAAACAAACCACACACCTTTAAAGGTGATAATATGTAATAATCAAAACAACAATAATCATAAAGAAGTCCAGTGTCTTAATAGTTCAAAATCATTCAAAGAAGAAATAAATGTGATAAACTTGAAATTTTCTTATAATGTTGATTGCTTCCGGTGACTTTTGTGAAAACCTCAAAAATAAACTCAGATAGTGTATTACCATAACATTATGTGGGGAAAAAAAAATATATATATATTCAAAATATAAATTACTGTGTGAAACACAAAAATAGTGAAACACTCATGAAAAAAGTTGCATACAGCACTCGTGCTAAATACTGATGTGTTTTACTCTGAGAACCATAACCCACGTGTGGCACTTCTAATAAGTGAGGCATATATACCCTTATCAACAGTAAGAAAACAAAACGCCTTAAGGTATCTGTAGAAATCACCCAACATTCTTTCTCCTCCTTCACTTATTGCAGAGTAACACTGTGCTGTCATCCTTCCATGGTCATTCGCAAGCCTTGATCCAAAATTGCCAATCATATATAATAGGAAATGACAATAGTGTAACTCCGTATATTTATGAGATCATACTGCTTTAATATATCCGCTTACATTTAAAAATAAATAGAGATGCATTTAAATCAATACCCCAATTCCTGGGGATTACCAGGCAGTTCCCATATGGAGTGTGCAGCGATTTTCCACAATAAAAATGGCCGCCGTATCACTTCCGGTTCCTGCTCCTTGCGTCCAACGTCACTTCCTCTTGACGCGTTTCGTCACATCCGGGACTTAGTCATAAGAGATCTTCACCTTCATTCATTGCTCTGTGGTCCAGTTGTGTTGCTCACATGCTCATTATAGGTGCTTTTAAGTGCGGACATTGGCACCTTGACCAGTCTACTGCTACGCAGCCCCATATGCTACAAATTGCATTGCACTGTGTGTTCTGATACCTGTCTATCAGAATCAGCATTAGCTTTTTCAGCAATTTATTTTATTACAGGTACTTACTCTATACACAGCACTTTACATATGTACTATACATTCACATCAGTTCCTGCCCTCGAGCTCACAGTCTAAGGTCCCTAACTCGCATTCATACATATATGTACAGGGCCAATTTAGACAGGAGCCAGTTGACCTACCAGCATGTTTTTGGAGGAAACTCACACAGGCACAGGGAGAACAAGCAAACTCCAGGCAGGTAGTTGATGCTCCGATCACATTGCGCTGTTAATTTTTTTTTTTTCTCATAATCTTTATTGAAATGTCACACAGCAGGTAACCAAAGTGTTTCTGTTTACACTGAGGTTTGTTGAAACAATTGCAAAATTCAGGGCATATCCAGTCCTGAGATCATGGGAAGTCCAGGTAGAAAGAAAGTCAAAGCAGCATTTAAAGCAAGGCTGCTATATACATGCTGGATATGGAAGTGCAACAGGCAAGTGTGGTTTCCCATGTACAATCTGCCTAGCGCTCAGTTGTTTCTCCCACCATATACAGACTTTCCTTTGGTGTGAGCATTCTTGGATGTGCCTTTTGGTACATATTTGTGACTGATGAGTTACGATGTTGATTCTTATTTAGGTTCTATGTCTAAAACTATAAAGTTTGCAACAACTTCAGCAAACGTATTTCATTGCAGCAACTCAAAATGGTACTCAGTAGCTTGTATGGCCCCCACATGCTTGTATGCATGCCTGACATCAGGGCATGGTCCTAATGAGACGACAAATGGTGTCCTGGGGTATTTCCCCCCAGATCTGGACCAGGGTATTACTGAGCTCCTGGACAATTTGAGGCATCGGATGGACCAAAACATGATATCCCAGAGGTGTTCTATTTGAAATTGGTCAGGCAAGCATGGGGGCCATTCAATGGTATCAATTCCTTCATCCTTTAAGATTTGCCTGCATACTCTCACCACATGGGGCCGGGTATTGTCGTGCACCAGGAGGAACCCAGGACCCACTGCACCAGCGTAGGGTCTTACAATGGGTCCAAGGATTTCATCCCGATACCTAATGGCAGTCAGGGTGCCATTGTCTAGCCTCTACAGGTATGTGCATCCCTCCATGGATATGCCTCCCCAGACCATCACTGACCCACCACCAAAACGGTCATGCTGAACGATGTTACAGGCAGCATAACATTCTCCACGGCTTCTCCAGATCCTTTCACATCTGTCACATGTGCTCAGGGTGAACCTGCTCTCATCTGTGAAAAGCACAGGGCACCAGAGGTGGACCTGCCAATTTTGGTCAATGGCAAATGCCACTCAAGCTCTATGGTGCCGGGCAGTGAGCATAGGGCCCACGAGAGGACGTCTGTCCCTCAGGCCACCCTCATGAAGTCTGTTTCTGATTGTTTGGTCAGAGACATTCACACCAGTGGCCTGCTGGAGGTCATTTTGTAGGGCTATAGCAGTGCTTATCCTGTTCCTCCTTGCACAAAGGAGCAGATACCGGTCCTGCAGATGGGTTAAGGACCTTGTATGGCCCTGTCCAGCTCTCCTAGAGTAACTGCCTGTCTCCTGGAATTTCCTCCATGCTCTTGAGACTGTGCTGGAAGACACAGGAAACCTTCTGGCAATGGCACGTATTGATGTGCCATCCTGGAGGAGTTGGACTGCCTGTGAAAGCTCTGTAGGGTCCAGGTATTGCCTCATGCTACCAGTAGTGACACTGACCCTAGTCAAATGCAAAACTAGTGAAAATTAGAAAAGATGAGTAGGAAAAAAAATGTCAACGGCCTCCACCTGTAAAACCATTCCTATTTTGGGGGTTGTCTCATTGTTGCCCATCTAGTGCGCCTGTTGTTAATTTCATTAACTGCAAAGCAGCTGAAACTGATTAACAACCCCCTCTGCTACTTTACTGACCAGATCAATATCCCAGGAGTTTAATTAACTTGATGCTATACTCTGATTAAAAAGTGTCTTTTTAACTACTTG